GCACATGCCTTCCAGTCCTGGTGTTTGGGTCAGCAGGTGAGTGAAGTATCAGCAGGAGGTGATGAAAGCAGTAGTAGGGAGATGGTACCAGTGAGGGTGAGATGTACAAATATTGGAGAGGAGCAGAGGGGTAAAGAAGTGAGATTTTGGGAACGCAGGATAGTAATATGAAAAGGAGGAGTGGAGGGACATATTAAAAAGGTACACGGAGTGGGACTCAGACTTGTAGGAGATGTTTCCCAGGGTGTTTGCTTGCAGTCTGTCCAGCGTGCAGTAGAGTTTCTTGTTGTTGTATCTTCCTGCTGCTTGAGTTAAGCTGCTTTAGTTCAACTGCTGTGTTCAACTGCTCTTAGTACTCCTTCAAAAGCAGCACTCATGCAAAATCAGCACCCCATCTGTGACCATGCCCCATGGTCTGTGACCCCCCCATGAGCTGATCTAAATTTATAGGGAGATGGTCAAATGAGCACTCCTCCCCGCCCCAATTAGGAACTGATAAGGATCACATGAATAGGAGGGATGTTTCTCAAACACAGACCAGACACAGGCCAGAGTAATAAAAACAGTGCAGCAAGAGGTGAGAACTACTCAACATAGACAAAAATATATATACACTATTTGTTATGAAATTAACAGGAGTCCATGCGTTGTTTCAGTTTAATATGGAGAAGAGCAGAAAGCAGCAAATTACCCAGAGACAGCTGGAGTCTATGCGTTGTTTCAGTTTAATATGGAGAAGAGCAGAAAGCAGCAAATTACGCAAAATCAGCACCCCATCTGTGACCATGCCCCTGTCTGTGACCCCCCCCCCCATGAGCTGATCTAAATTCATAGGGAGATGGTCAAATGAGCACTCTTCCCCGCCCCAATTAGGAACTGATGGCTAGATCTGGCCTTGCCCATTCACCACAGTAAAGACAGTATTCTGCACTCTACAAACTACTGTCAAGCTAGATTTGTTATCCTGGTATTTAATGAAATTGACATGGGCATTCAAAGACTGTAATTAAAAGGGAGACCCTCTCCAGTAATTAGAGTATATGGCATGATAAGCATGAGCTATATTAGGCCTCTTCAGTGCCATGATCCTGGACTCCTGAAAACGAGACTCCTGTGATAGAATAACATGCGGTCTATAACGTCTAAAATAGTCAAATATTAGTGAGGGTTTAATCTTGGAATTGAGCCATAAATAACATGGAAAAATATATGGAAGGCAGAACTCACTACCCAGGTTAGGTTCAGGGTCCAAAGCTACCAGTATCTAGCATACAAATGACAATATAAAGAGAAATAAAATCCAGCAAGGAATATCAAATTAAAAATGTACTCCAGAAAATAAAACAAACCCAAAACATCCCACCCTGCACATAGCCCCCAATTTTAACGTGATCCCTTAACAAATAACCATGTGGGGAAATGGATATCAGACAGATCAATACCCAGTATTAAATTCGACAATCCCGCAGCAGGGAGGAAAACTAAAAGTGTATAGCGGTAAAAAAAAAGAAAAATAATGCAGCTCCATGTTTTAAGATTCCTAAAGTCCACACAAAATAACAACTGATAGAATCCCTAGAGTCCAATGCTGGGTGGAAAAAAAAAAGCCATGAAATCACAATAATAATTACTCATCCTAAAGTTAGCCCCCATGAAGATAATACTGAGGCTTTATGTCCAGGAGAGAGTCCATGCAAAGCCTGTTGGCAAAAAAAGTAATCCAGAGGGCTCTGCATCAGGCATCTTTGAACATAAAACACAGCAAAGCTGATAATACCTCCAGTCCTCCAGAAGATGGTAAGATGATACAATCACAGAATAGTTCAGTGTATATGAGTATAATGAAAGGAAAATTTTTTTTTACGATAGAGTGGAGAGGCATTAGAACACCTATTGCTTCTAATTGATGTCTGTGCCCCCGTTAGGGAGATTCACCCTCTCTATTTGTCCTGTTTACCATTATTATTGAAAGTGAAAGTAAAAGAAAATACCAAATTTGGGGTTATCCCCAGAAGAGTATTAGGGGGATAATCTTCCAATAGGGACACTAGATCTGATTTCCTGTTTTAGCTATGGGACAGGAAGTGATGATGAATCTCCCCAGTGGGACACAGATGGCAAAAACAATCTGACAGGGGTTATATTCCTCCCTTACTCTATCCTAAAAGGAAGAAAAAAAATGTTTTGTCTAGAGTTCTACTTTAGCTTTTTCTGGAACATGGCATCCAAAAGAAATAAAGACTCTGGAAAGAGCACCAAAGTTAATAAGCCATATTTCCCTTAACATCGTATTTACTGATAGACATGTGCAGAGCAGGAAAAATTTGTTTTGGATAAATTCATTATGTTACTAATTTATTTTCAAGTATTCATTTTGTTTATTAATTTTCTAACAAATTCCAAAATTCTGATTCGAATCAGACAAAAATGTATTGACTGATCCAAATTCTGTGTGAAAGAAGCTGGTTGTTAAGGAGAGGGCCAGGAAGCCAGCCACGGCGTACTTAACAACTGATAACTCATCAGCTGAATGTAAAAAAAAAGAATTGAGAGGACATATTGTCAGTGTGTGTATGAAATAGCTCCTCCCGGGTGGATTTACTAAAGGCAAATACACTGTGCACTTTGCAATGTAGTTGCTCCAGAGCTTAGTAAATGTGGTAAAGCTCTGCTGACTTCCATCATCCAATCATGTACAAACAAAACTCTTTTTTTTTGTTTGTTTTTTATTGCATGTGTTTTGGTATTCTTTGAAAAGTGAAGCTTCACCTCACCTACTAAGTTTTGGAACAACTGCACTTGCAAAGTGCTATTTTCCTTTAGTAAACTCACCCCTAAATGACTGACTAAAGAGAGAGGGCAGTTTAGATCAATTTGTAGTGAAATTCACCCAAAAGGATAAAACCTAGGGGTTATAAATTTATTGTCCTATAACCTTGGGGCACAGTCACAAGTATCTGGACTAGGCTTTAGCTGGAAACTAACATAAATATTTGTCTGACAAAGACCAAAAGGCTAAGAAAAATTAATATGCTTTGTTGGATAGAGCCTTCTTAAACTTAAGTACTAATAAAGAGATTGTCATCAAGGCTTCAGAACAGGAGGGAACACTGTCATCATGGAAAATCAACAATATAGATGTATGCGTCTAAACATAGAATGGTAGAATCCGATCCCTGAGTTGATGATTCATAGGTTCAAAATGGAATTCTTAGAACCTTTTGGATGTGCATGTGCAGTGGTAACCATCAACAAAAATACATATGAGTCGATATATACATAAAATTTCCAAGGGCCTCCATCCTTTTATGCACTACTTATTACACAGAAAAACCTGACGTCCCGCCAGGCAGACCCATCATTTTGGGTATCAGCTCTCAGACTGAACTAGCTAGTCGCCTAGTGAATTCACATTCACACCCACATGTACTGTATTAAGTTTACCAGGTATCCAGTATACTCAAGACCTCCTTAGATCGGTAGAGAATATTGTCGACCCCCCCCCCCCCCCATTGCAGTATTCTGCACAAGCTGGGTCTAAAAGTGGCAGAGGGCTTTTTCAAGGAAAAGGGAAAGCCCTCTTGGCCTTACAGTGGATTGATTTAAATGTTCTGATTTTAAATTAAAGGATACGGAAACTTTCAGAGATAACTTCTTCACCCTTTCCATTCCTCCCTTTATCCTGATCTAGTCTGGAGTCTACAGCACTCTGCCAGAATATTTACCTGTGGCTGGTGTGTTTTCTACTTTCTACTCCCTAGTAACATATTTTAAATTTTCTTCAGTATATCATGTGATATGTAAAAGCCACAGATACATTTTTGGTGACAGGAGACTGTGATGATAGCGGATTGCCAAAGATTGCTGCAGATAAGAGATCAGTAGCCCTGTCAATAAAAGCCAGGTCTGCTCTAGGGGTAGTGTAGAGTCTTTAAGGATAACTCAAAATAGCACCAGTGCCTTGTGCATGTGCAGTAGCATCAGGCAGGAAATAACACCATGCGGCTACTATCCATTTGCAGTAGCATTTAAACTTAAATGTAGACCAGCATCATCCACAACAGCCATACTTAGCCTGTGCACACCAAGAGTGGTCTCTTTAGCAGGTGAGGTGTTAAAATAGGACATGGCTTTCTAATTTCTGGCATTATCAGTTCACATCCCCTTCTGTCCCCCAGCTTCTACCGTGGCTTACACAGGCACTATAATCTTTGGGCTGGCAGCTCACTCTACCAAACCCCGCACCTGACCTCTGACTGTACAGGCCTACACAGCTGACATAAGGTGAAGAGCTGGCAACTCCTCCCAATAAAAGTACTTTCTTAATAAAGTTTACAGTATGCAAGTTACAGCAGCTTACGCATTTCGGTAAGCTGACAGCTCTTCATGGAAGAGCCACTCACCACCAAGCCTGCAACCATCCCCCTCCGCATCACTACACCAGAAACTTTCCCATCATCGCTCTGCCTCCATCTCACCACCATGCCTGAAACCTCGCTAACACTGCATCCTCATGCCAACCACCCACCTCTTTTACCACTACAGCTGACCCCCATCATTTTTCTCCTGGACCACACCTGCAGAGAAACCTCCACTCTCACCACGGCATCTGACATTCATCCTTCCTCCACCCACCTTTCTGCTGGGCAGCTCTCCGAGATGCCCAAACTTCACATGCTCGCTGCCACTGTACCAATGCACACTTTTCTGCTTTCTGTCAATGCATTGGCACATCCTTCCATATTCAGCCCATTCAACAAACGGACACAGGTTTGTTAGTATATATAATGTATATTCATTTTGTTTGAACTCGATAAACGTGTACATTTGTAACGTAATAAGAACCTAGTAAAAACCCATAAGGAAAGTCCAACATGTGTCAAATAGTAATACATTTACCACTGCATTTGAACTACACTAATATTTTATAACTTCTAATGTGAATACATTTCCCAGCCAAAGGGTATCTATAGGTATATAGTCTTTATTCAAAAACATACCTTCCCAATAGCTGCTCAAAGGATCTTTCCATAACTTTCTGTATTCCAATGCGATCAATTTGCCTCATTGAATAGTATGTGATGTCATATTTCTTCAGAATAAATCTGAAACAGAAATGTCCTCATATTATTAGAGATCTATAGCATATAATGTGAAATTTCTTTATCTATATTAATATGAATTCCAGCGCCTTTAGATACATATGTCTCCTACTTGTTCTCGTTTCACAATGTTGATCTAGGAGATACACATTTATTGGCTGTATGTTGTGAGGAAAATAACACAGGAGGACAGGGAAGACAGATTGAATGAGTGTAAGGGTCCTCTCACAGGCCTGATCAGGTCCGTCTGTTCAGGCAGACCTGATCGGAAGCCCCATGAAGCTCTATGGGCAGGCTGATGTAAATGGACTTGTGTCCGTTTACATCTGCCTACCTCTGAATCTGTCCAGGCCTGGAACAATAAACAAAAAAAGGACTGTGTCCTTTTCGCCTTTTCCAGACCTAATCCTGAAGTCCATTTACACCTGACTACCCAAAGAGCCAGCACGAGTCCTTCCCTGTCCACTGTGTAAATATGAACACAAACCGAACGGGCACGGATGTAAAAAAAAAATGACATCTGTCCTGTTCAGCTCCAATTCACCAGGGAATCTGCTCATAGATCACCTGCTGAACAGAGCAGAGTGGTCAGTGTGAAAGGGCCCTAAGTCTCCAACCAGAAAGGAAAATCCTTTGGTGAATGAAGAAAACAGATGCTTGGTTATCATTAAATTGTTTTATTTGATGGTGGAATTATATGACCTGTTTTAAATCATACTATAAATGACATGATTTAAAATGTTTGCCTAGGCAAAAAAATGCAATACATGCACATTTCCACTTCTTTGCAATTCATGAACATTTGCCAACTCTTTACAAACACTGCAAGTATAAACCATACCTCTTGATCTGTCAAAAATCCAGTGTATACCTAATTTCCTCTTTGAGTTGACAGCAGGGGCGGACTGACCATTCGAGCACTTGGGCACTGCCGAAGGGCCCAGGGTCAGTAGGGGGCCCCATTAAATGCCCCTGGTACCTTTTATAGGCTTTTTTGGGTGTGCTTTGAGCATGGGCAAGGACACTGGGGCCCCATGAGTTATCAGTCTGCCCCTGGTTGCCAGCACAGTGTGCAATGTGGTCAATTCAGCCTAATTTCCATTCTGTTGGTCAGCATTGCTTGGAAATTGAGTGCAGCAGAGTGCACATGAAGCTAGAAGCTCTCTGGGTTTCTGCCAGGACCAATGGTTCTGTCCACTGTGTAAATATGGATGTAAAACAAACTGACATCTGCCCTGTTGAGCTACACCTGGCATTTCCACTATTCAAAAAGGGGTATCAAATCTACCTGGATAACTACTACACAAATCTGCCCCTTTTCTGCCACTTGTACCTCCAGAAAACCTGGACCTGCAATACAAGAACAAACAGGAAGGGCTTCCCACAAGGTCTGGTGACCACAAGGCTACAAAGGGGGGAATCAGCTAGTTTGAGGAACGATGAAGTGTTGGCCATGAATTGGAGGTATAAGAGATGTGTATGTCTTGTCCACCATCTACAATTACACCTCCGTGGCAATTCAGGGACAACACGGTCTCATCCAAAAGCCTGCATGCATTCAAGATTATAATCTCTACAGGGGGTGTGAGGGGAGAGTTCAATGATTAGATGCTACAGCCCTATTTAGCACCAAGAAGGTCCCATTTCTGGTACAAAAATGTTGCCATTTTTAATGCACGTCACCTATCAGAAGTCCACGGTTATACCCACCACCTTTGTTACATTTATAGAATATATTGTCACTTCCCTTATCTACCAGCAAGAATCTCCACCAGAAAACATTTGCTCTGATTCTGTGAGCAGACTTTGAGAGTGACATTTTCCAGAGAACATTCAACCAACAGAAGCAGGCTGAAAAAAATGTCAGATATGCAGCACATGGGGAGTTAGGAGAGACACCAGTTTTCATTGTCCTCAATGTCCCTCCCAACTGGGCCTATGCATTTGAGACTGCTTCCGACAATGCCATATGTCGCTAAAATGTTAGCAAAGATATAGTGCCACATTTTTGACAGCCTGCTATTTCCCCATTTCTAATATCTGTGCTGATCATTTGCCTGCTGCTTTGACTGACCATACCTCTGCTTTCCACCTTAACTGACCCTGGCCTGTTAAGTAATGATGCCTTTACCTGCCATCTGCACTGTTTATCAACCACACTTCTGCCTTCCATCTAAACTGATCCTGGCCTGTTTATCAACAATGCCTCATCCTGCCTTCTGGATTATCAATCACATTTCTGCCTCGTACCTGAACTGACTTCGGCCTGTTAATCGACCGTGTTTTTTGCCTTCTGCTTGGACTGATCTTTTGCCCTACACAGGAGTCTCACATATGTGAGGGGCTTCACACTATGGTTTCGAGTAGAGACCATATGTCTGCCTGCTGCCTGTAATGACCCAGGACTTTTTATATACCATGTTCCTGTCTGCTGCCTGGACCAACACTTTGGATGTGCTGACCATATCTCTGCCTACTGCCTGTACTGACCCTGGTATGTTTATGGACCATATTCCTGCCTGCTGCCTGGATGATTCCTTTGGCTGTTGCTGACCACATCTCTGTGGACAACTGCTCTACTAAAACCACAGGTAATCTTTTGTTTACCCTATGTTCAGCCTCCTATACTTCTTGGCCAGTGAACATAGCATTGTGCTATGTGGGCAGTAATGTATCAGTAGGTTAGGCTTGCTTGGCTTTTAGGCAGTTCGCTGTAGGTGAAGCTACACTATACTATATTCACTGACCACTCTTACAGACGTGACCTTTACAGTACATTGTTTTCTATACAGTGTTGCTTGATTTTTGTGTTACACAGGTTGCAATGTTGGGTACATAATCTGTTCAGACATTTAAAAGGTCTTATACATGTGGTATCCCCATAATCATGAAGGGATAGCAGATTGTATTTTGGAGTGTAATTGTAAGTATGTCCATGCTGTTTGTTAGAATTTATCCTACAGAGTGACAACTTTGTGTTAAAAAAATACATTTTCATTTTCTTTCTGGTATTGATGTGGTTCAAGAATAATAGCTTTGTTTCAGGGGTTGGCATTTTTAGGGTTTTCGTTTATTTTGGGGGTATATTGGGTTTCTATTTTTTTTCCTTTTTTCTGCAAGACTTCCCTTTACAAAAAAAAAAAAAGGGTTTTTGTTTTAGTGGTGGTATTTTGGGTTTTTCATTTGTTTTGATTTTTATGTTGATAGGGATTTTTTAAAGCTTGGCACACTCAAAGTGGAGCATTTAATTGCTACTGACCATCTGTTCTTGAAGGTGACTTTTTTAAACAATGCACCAGTGTGCTGCTAACAAAAAGGCAAGTGCAAGAACAATATGCACTTAAACCACCTCACAATATATCACTCACATTCACCCCACCCCTCATCCCCATAGATAAATCAAAAATTAGGAATATACCAGTTAGGCCTACTATCCAAAATTAAAACTTTTCTGCTGCTGGACAATTTTCTTCTGCGTTAACTTAATTCTTGTAGAAAAGCCTGCGCAATTTGTCTCTTGTAAAGTTTGAATCTAGCCCTACTATTTAAAATGATCCTGCTGTTTGGCCAATTTTACACTGCTGTGTAATCTGCAGTCTGTTGATTCATGTAGTAAAACACCTTCTCTCTTATTATAAATGCCCTGCTGCAGGCCACTCCTAATTCATAGTGAGAGCTTAATAGAAGTTGGCCAGCGGCAGAACAGTTTGGTCTTAATGAAAACAGGATCAGCCATACTGAACTACTGACTAATTTCTATCTGCCTGTCAAAGCTGGTCTATTATCGTTTGATGAGCTTGATAGAAACTGGCCAGTGGCAGGAACGTTTGGCATCAATGAAAACAAGCACAGTCACAACAAACTGCTGGCCAAGATATATCTGCTAGTGGAATTGCGTTGATTATCATTTGATGAAAAAGCATGTTTCTGAACTAAAATGAATTAGATTGGGATGCTGCTGCTGCTGTATGTAATCCAAGCTAACTGTAAAAGAAAAAAATAAATAAATTCCATGGTCAAATATGCGATTACCAGTGTACGCACTCATTGTCTTTCAAAAAATCATATTGTTATGTAACACTATATACAACTTTGAGGCATCTCCCAGGCATGTTGTTTAAATAACCTAAGCCACATGTGCAGTATTTTTAAAAACATTTAAATTTTTTTTTTTGCATTCGTATATGTATCCAGCCTCCCATGCCCTTTTTTGACAGTAGTTTGCCTTTTAGCCATACAAATGGGCAAACTTTAACTGTGTGATTGGTCCCATATAGGCTTCTCTGCATCTAAATTCGGGTACACAGAATAATGAAAATAATTCACTGAACCTTTGGTGAATCAAACTCTGGCAGATTTTCCTATTGCTAGAAGAGAAAAAAAAAAACGGCATCTTTATTTCAGATTATTATGAGCAATCAGCGGGAAAATATTTTAGCGATGTTTATAAAAAAGGCTTTATAAATTTTTTATTAAACTGTTACTAAACCCACAACAGTGAAATCAGTCTGCATATGCAGTAAAGCATGCTTGTTATACTCACTGTGGAACAAACCCAAGGGGTTAATCCTCAGCATCATGTAAAAAGGCTGTTTGGTCCTGTATTCTCTGACCATCCCCTTCTTCCACAGTCCCCAATTCATCTGCTGATAGTACAGAGCCCCAGGAGGCACTCTGCACATGCTAAGTTTGGTGTGTATTGCTAGAGGTTTTTTTTTATTATTTTGGAGGGTGCATGTGATCTGCACATGGTCAATCAGCACTGTCCAGACAGAAGGTCATGGGTCATGCAATCTCATAGAGGAGAATGAAAACTCCTACAAGCTTTAACCAGACCGGCTGGGACCTGATAAAAGTCACAAGACTGCTATATACTGCTAATGAGAAAAGGTATTTAGCAGTTTATGTTTACTAAAATAATTGCATTTCCATGTTCTGTGTACTGTGGGAGACCAGCTATAGTGAATGCAGGGTTCTGGGTTTAGCAACACTTTAATAAATTAATGTTATTTGGTTTTACATACATGGTTTAATGTTTATGTAGTAAATTTTTTTTTAGCAGTTGATTGTATGATGCACTAATTGTATAGTATATCTTGTGGATAGGCTTATAGCCTCCTAGTGGATTCTTATGGAATAGACTTATTTATATACATAAATACTGTTACAATGTGTATGTCTTGTTGGGATATTGCAGGGATGGCTAAAGGGTTAATAGGCTTGCTGCCTATAGAGTGGGATCTTACATACAGGCACACGCCCGCAAGGTCCCCCTCTTCAAGAAAGTACATGTACAGGCCTGTCTGAAGTTTGCCAATGAACATCTAAATGATTCAGAGAAGGATTGAGAGAAAGTGCTGTGGTCAGATGAGACCAAAATTGAGCTCTTTGGCATTAACTCGACTTGCCGTGTTTGGAGGAAGAAAAATGCTGACCCTAAGAACACCATCCCTACAGTCAAGTACAGAGGTGGAAACATAATGCTTTGGGGCTGTTTCTCTGCTAAATGTACAGGCCGACTTTGCCACATTGAGGGGCCAATGGACCAGGCCATGTATTGAAAAATCTTGGATGAGAACCTTCAGAACACTGAAAATGGGTCATGGATGGGTCTTCCAGTATGACAATGACCCAAAACATACTGCCAAAGCAACAAAGGAGTGGCTGAGGAAGAAGCACATTAAAGAGGAGTTCCACCCAAAAGTGAAAGCTCCGCTTGTTTGTCTCCTACCCCCCTCCACTGCCATATTTGGCACTTTTTTGGGGCAGAGGGGGAGCGGATACCTGGTTTTGACAGGTACCCGCTCCCACTTTCGGCCTCAGTTTGCCTGGAAGTTTTACCCCCCGTCCTTCCTCCCACAGTCTGCTGCAATCGGGATGAGCAGCGCGACTTGTGCATGCGCAGTGGGCACCCGGCTGTGAAGCCACAAGCTGTCACAGACTGGTACCCACAGTTGAAATGCCAGGGAGAGAAGGGAGGGCACAGGTGAGCACATCACTAGACCCTGGGACAGGTGAGTGTGTGTTTATTAAAAGTCAGCAGCTAGAGTTTTTCTAGCTGCTGACTTTTAATAAACACAAAACTGACTGGAACTCCGATTTAAAGGTCATGGAGTGGCCTAGCCAGCCTCCAGACCTTAATCTTATAGAAGATTTATGGAGGGAGCTGAAACTTCAAGTTGCCAAGCAACAGCCAAGAAACCTTCAAAATTTAAAGGAGAACTGGAAAAAAAAGCGTGTACCACAATCCCTCCTGAGATGTGTGCTAACCTGGTAACCAACTACAAGACACATCTTACCTCTGTGCTTGCCAACAAAGATTTCTTCACCAAGTACTAAGTCATGTTTTGCTTGGGGATCAAATACTTATTTTGCTCACTGAACTGCAACTCAATTTATAACATTTGTATCATGTGTTTTTTTCTGGATTTTTGGTTGTTATTCTGTCTCTAATTTTTTTTTATCATAGGTGTATTTTAAATTATAGAGACCCTTCATTTCTTTGTAAGTGGGCAAACTTAAAAAATTTGCCGGGGATCAAATAATTATTTCCCCCACTGTACAGAGTGTGATTGTACCAGTCTTGCCTAAATCCCCTGTGTGACAAAAAGTGTTGGACGGGACATTGGAATGTCATCACACAGTTTAGAATGGTGTGACAGTGAAAGGCCCTGCCACTGTATTAGGAAGATTGAAAACCACACAGGGTGCTCTAGAGCTTCAGATTAGAGTGGAGAAAACTAAGATTTTGGATAATTACCAGATCGAGGTCTGGAGGCTTCGAAGAGCTTTTGGTGGCCCCTGTGCCACCTTGTCCTGTGTCCTTGACCCCTGTGTCCTGGTCTTACCAGAGAACAGCAGGCTGAGTGTTAAGGTGTGCACACCTATTATAATATAAGGGTCTGTCTGTAGCTCAGGACAGGAAGTTCCCTGTCCAGGAGACAAATGGCTGTAGGGGAAGCGTGTATGTGTATCCAAGACAGTGTGGGTCACTGTGGTGTGGTGGGAAAAAGCGGTGCTGTGAGGAAGCAGAGAGTGTTTGACCAAGATACTAGCCGAGTGTCTGTAGTGGCCTGAGGGAGAGACATTCAAACAAGGCTGGGGCCTGAGAAAGGCAGATAGCCAGGAGGCTGAACAATTTATCTTGAGTCCATGCTGTATGAAGCTGAAACCCCTGCTTGGGAAAATCTGGTGTAAGGAACTTTAATTGTCCTTTTAAATAGTCGGCCACGGGCCCTATAGTTGTACTTCCTGGCTGGAGTGTATTTACAAGCAGTACACTTGTTGACAGCCCCCAACATATCACATTGGATACCAGAGCTCCAAGCTGACATCCATATGTGGCAACCATGTAAATTTTATGTTGCTGATTTTACACAACATACCTTTTAATATGTTAAGTTTTGAAATTAGAGTTTCTTTTTCCTTAGGAAACATTAAAACCTCTATCACTAAGATCTTGCCAGTATAATGGCTCACTATTGCAAGCTTTTCTCAAAATGGATAATGATTACCAACCATACATTGTAACTGAGGTATGGGTATTAAGAAGAGTTATGTAGAAGGTTATAATTCATATTATATACAAAAATAGACACGTGTGAATTGATTGAAGACATAGATGTTTTTATTGTTTTGCAAATTCTGCAAACCTGTGTTCCCTGGACAACGACAAGTTGAATTTATTCTTACTGTCTGGGAAGTAAATGCAATTTTTTTTAGTCTTACAAGAAATGTATGTATGTATGTAAGAAATTTTGACTTTGAGGCTAGGTTCACATCTATGCAGATTGCAGTTGATGTATTTTCTGGGTGCATTTTTTCCCACCCGTTTTTGATGCATTTTCTTTTGCATTTCTTATACATTTTGTGAGCTGTTTTTATGTGACTTTAGCTGTTTGTCAAGGAGTGTCCTTAACAACAAATAAGTCATTAGGTGTCAGCGAGGTTTCCCACTGACAGCTGAATATAAACAAACCCAAATTTAAAAAAAATCAGGGAAGAAACAGCATGGGGTCACCCCCATTCTTTACCAGGCCTTTCGTGTCTGGTATGGAATTTAAGGGGAACCCCGTGTTAAAATATAAAAAAAAAAAAACGGTTCGGGGTCCCCTCCATGATCCCAGACCATTATCTCAGCATGCAGCCCAGCATGTCAGGAAAATGGGAGGGATGAGCAAGCGCCCCCCCCTCTTGAACATACCAGGCCACATGCCTTCGATATAGAGAGATGGTTCCCCCCAAAGCTCCTTGTCCTCATGTTGATCAGAACAAGGCCCTCTTCCCTACAACCCTGGGATGTGGTTGTGGGGGTCTGCGGGGGGTAACTTATCGGAAACTGGAAGCCCCCTTTTAGCAAATAAGCTAAGGGGGCTTCCAGATTCCAATAAGCCCCCTTCAGCTAACATTCACTTTTTACATTTTGTTGTTGAATGAGTAGGGGTACTCCATACTCATGTACCCCATACTCATTCACATGGGGGGCAAGATCTGGGGGCCCCCTTTTTCAAGGGAGCTTCCAGATTCTGATAAGTCACCCCTGCAGACCACCACAACCACAGCCCAGGGTTGTGGAGAATAGGCCCTTGTCCTTATCAACATGGGGACAAGTGCTTTGGAGGGGGAGCACCCCTCTCATGTTGAGGGCATGTGGCCTGGTATGGTTCGCTTCCCCTCTCCTTTCCTGACCTGCTGGACTGCATGCTCAGATAAGGGTCTGGTATGGATTTTAGGGGGGACCCCACCCCATTTTTTTTAAAATGCCGGCAATGGGATTGTTTATATTCAGCTTTCAGTGGGGAACCCCGCTGACGGCTGATAACTCATCAGTTGTTAAGGACACCAGCAGCTGCCCGCTTCTTAACAACCAGTCACACAAAACACAATATGCAAAATGCATAAATAAATACATCAACAAAGCAATACTTGCTCAAAACTCAGGCTCGATGTGAACTAGATCCATAGGAAATCATGTTAAATCATGTTAAATCATGTAGTGCATTTCTACAAACCGGGAAATACACTAAATGCAAGTGTGAACCTAGAGTAAATAAATATTAGTAAACTTTTTGCATTATTTTGCAACATGCAATATATGACTTTATATTGTCTAAGGCAAGTGAAGATACATTAGTAAAATACACTTTTGTACCAAAATATTTCCTAAAGAATTCACCTGTTCCTGACTATTGACATTTACATCTACACAGATATGAAATACAAACGGCTTAATAACTTACTGTTCAGCTGCATCAAGATCGCGCAAACCAATATATACAATATCCAATGTGGAAATGCACGGTTTTATCCAAGAAAACCCAGGGATCAGAGGAACCTACAAAAAAAATGTACACTTTCTAAATTTGTCACAAGACAAAGATATTTGCTTATTACAACTTGGAAGCTATAAAATAGGTTGCCCTTGGCATGAAAGAATTTTCCACTTGTGTACATTGTTTTAAAAAAAGGTCACACAAGAGCAGAGATTTTAAGCAGGAATTTTTTCATTACATTTTTAAAGTGGAAATCATAATAATTATTAAACAGGTTTCCTATAGCATTAGCAGTTTTTGCAGGGCTTTAAATATAGAGGAACACAGTTACAATACCATTTTATACAAGAGTATTGGGCAGGCCCTGTTCTTGAGAGGTTACAATCAATAAAGGGAGGGACAGGTGGTAAAAAAGGAAATAACCTTTTCATAAGGGATGAGCTAATAAAGAAGGTAAAAAAACAGTTTTTAGGTGGATGTGGGATAAGCTTCCTTGAAGAGATGGGGTTTTCAGGGATTGCCTAAGGCTGGGTACATACGGGACGAATTTCAGCCAGTATCTGCAGGTTCAGCAGGAACCGGCCGACATTCAATCAGTGTGTACAGCTGTCTTTCCAACAGAAGCTGATCTAACAACTGGCTTTTGTCAAAGAGGCATGCTGGAACACCAGCATCTGATCAGCACTGGCAGCCAATGGCTGTGAGCACTGATCATTGTGTTCTGTTGGGGTGCAGTCCCCCTGTCAGAGCACAAAGGCACAGCAAGGGAGATGTGTTAATACAACGATCCATCAGGTTTTTTTTTTCTTTTTTTCAATCAGCCGGCTAGGTTAAACGAAAAAAAAAAACTTCATGTGTGCACCAGGCTTAAAGGTGGACCAAGTAGGAGATAGATGGGCAGATTATGGTAGGCAGTTCCAGAGGATGTAAGAGTCTCTGGAGAAGTCATGGAGGTGTGCATGCGAGAAAGTAATGAGGGAGCTAGAGAGCAGGAGATTTTAGGACAGTGATGGTGGACCTTTTGGAGCCCGAGTGCCAAAACTGCGACCCAAAACCCACATATTTATCGCAAAGTGCCAACACTGCAATTATACCTGAATAGTGAGGTTTTAGTTTAGAAAAAACAACTTGTACAGCTGGAGTTCCTCTTGAATTTGCGGATCACTAGCACAAGGAGGCAACGTTCCACTGACCACCGGCACAGAGGGGCAATGTTCCACTGACCTCCGTCACAGAGGGGCAATGTTCCGCTGACCCCCGGCACAGAGTGGCAATGTTCCGCTGACCCTCGGCACAGAGGGGCAATGTTCCAATGACCCCCCACCCCCCGGGCACGTGTGCCATAGGTTCACCACCATGGTCTTGGAAGAAGTTTGGGTGATATTTCAAGGTGAGTTTGGTGATGTAGCTGTGGGGCTGAATTACAGATGACTTTGTATGTTGTTAGTATTTTAGAATTTTTTAACGTTGGGCTAGCAGAAGCCAGAGGAAAGACTGGTAGAGAGGGGTAGCAGCTGCAGATCAGCTAATAAAAAAAGAGAATTTTAATTAGAACCGTGCTCTCAAAAAGCCTATTACAGTATTCCATAAAAATTAGTAGTTACAGAATTATTGTCATGTTAAATAACAGTGCTAAATTTGGCTTGGTCATACCTTCCAAGTTTCTAAAATTAATAATAGGAACACCCAAAGTATGTGGGCTAAGGAGTCACCACTGTCACACCCCAGTTACATGGAACATTAAAAAATATAAGAAATGTATTCATAGAACTACTATTGTGTTAACTGTTGCATGCTGATGCTGCCAGATTTGGCCTGGGCATCTAGAGAATACCTTCATACCTTCTATCTTTCTGAAATGGGAAAAAATATACCCTTTTAGCAAAAAAAAAAACGTAGGCTAGGGGCGGGCTGACAACTCATGGGGCCTCCGGGAAATAGGGGATCATGGGGCCCCTGTGTCCTTGCCCAAACTCAAAAAAGCCTATGAAAAAGGTACCAAGGGCATCTCATGGGGCCCCCTACTGACCCCGGGCCCTCGGGCAGTGCCCGAGTTTCCAAATGGTCAGTCTGCCTCTGATGTAGGCAAAGAACACAGTCCTGCTATGCCTCTAGTTAAACAGTACGTGACAAATTTATGGTATATACAAAAAGTTATTGGTTAACCCCACGTATGTTTTTATTCACTACTATTTTCCTTTGTACTGGCTTTCCAAAGTAACATTTGCAAAAATGTTGAGTTTGGGTAAAATATTTAGTGCTGAATAACTGTTTTTGTAGTTAAAAAAACCAAACAAACCGTTTTTAAATAGCTTTTATGACCAAAAACGACAACTTAGGAGGAAAATGGGACAGAGGGATTTGGTTCTAAAAGAAGAAAATTCCCTTCAAATGAGAGACAGTTGGGAGCTATGATGTAGTCATCTATGACCTCTGAATATGAAAGTGTTAAGGTTAAAAAAAGACACCGAAGGAAGTCTTATTTATGCTTTAAGTTGTAAGAGCTGCATATGTAATTATGAGTGTATCTATACCCCCATCTGGCCTCCATGGCTATACTGCAACATTGTTCAACATTCATAAAATATGTGTAAAGTAAAATCTTTTATTTTTAGTTCTGGATACAGTAGAGAAAGGATTAAAACCCTGTCCTGGAGAAAGTGACATAGCCTGGGTTACCGAGCATCCAGGGCAAGGCAAGTATTGTGTCCCTCTAACTTGTAGACTGGAATCACTAGAAAATATATGATACATAGTAGGAAAACCTGTGCTTTACCTTACCCTCAAATCCTCTTCCCCTTTTATCACACATCTCTGTGACACCCTCCCCTGCAAATCCCCCCTCCCAGCACAAATACTCCCCCTAATTCTCCTCTCCCTGCACAAATCCTATCCCCCTTCTAGTACAAATCCTTCCCCCTCCAACCCCTCACTTCTAGCACAAATCCTCCTCCTCCCAACCCCTCCCTTCTAGAACAAATCTTTAACTGCCCCTCAATCCCTCCGGGTTTAATGAACCCCAGTCTTTTTCCTCCTTGAAACGCAGAAACAGACTTCAGATCAGCATGGCTCAATACAGGTGGACATCTTTCATCTTCTGCACGATGCACATCAGAGCAAGGGAGGACCTTATTGTTGTTACAGGGAGCCAACGGGAAGAAATGCTGACTGCTGCAGCAGGGGAGATCAAGGCACTAGGGACCAGGGCACTCCACAGGAGATACAAAGCAGACACCCTGTGTGTCTGGCACTAGTGCACCCCTACCAGGTTAGTCTGTGGAGCCAAATGCCAGAACTTATTCCAGAACTGGGCTCCAGGACTCAGTCCAGATCTGCTGAACACTGGGATTTTTTTTAATTCCCAGGATAGACCCACGAAATCTGGGATGGTTGGGAGGTATGATTTTGTGCACATAAGAATTTTGCACCCAAGGCAACTGTCCCTGTAGTCTCGCCAACACTATACCACTGCCCAGAGATGCAGAAGGAATTTAATCCAAAATGAGTCGTAGTCGCCTCTTTGACAGTTGTCACTGGAACACTGGACCCCTCCACTTTTACCACTACCTTTTTGTACTAGTAAGGAAAAGCCTTGTGTTCTGGTAACTTTAAAATTAAGAATTTTACCTCACATTCTCTCTGTGACAGTGGTCAAAAGGACAATAGAGGGTATGTCCCAACAGAGGCACTGCAATAAAAACTTGACAAAGTATTCCCAAAAACAACACTGACTATACCTCTAACGTTTGACCAACATCCTTATTGAATGTGGATATTAAGTTCAAAAATTTTTGGCCACTAGACTCAACTGAGGGATTGGAGGCTTTAACCATTGCAGCCAGGTTGGTTTTATGCTTACTAGACCTGCTAGCAGTAACATATGGAAACCTGTCCTCTTGGTTGAGGCCTCTGTCAGAGGATCAAGCAGAAAAAGATGGGCACTGTCACCAATATCCAGCATGGCCGCAGGTTGCATGCTCCTGTGCGCATAGGCGCACGCAGGGCACAATCCCGCACTTGCAAAAATGCATGAATCAATGGATGCGCATGTGCAGTGGCATTTGCAGGACTCAATAGTTTCTGGTGCCCATTTGCCTTTAAAAGGACTGCAGCTCTGACCACTAGTTGCTAGTCCTTGATTATCAGCCCCCTGTATTCCTTTGCCTTGTGATTATATGATTTCCCATTGCCGACCTGGATTGCCTCTGACCAGTCTGACCTTCCCTCCTGGTTCTGATCCCTGGCTTGTTCTACTGACTCTGCTGCTGCCTGATCACCTGTGTATGACCTTGGCTTATTCTCCTAACCTCGCTCCTGCATGATCTCTTGTGTCTGACCCTCAGCCTGATCCTGCCCTTGCTTCTGATTGATCTTCTGTGCTTGATCTCTGGCCTGACTTAGACTCTGCTCCCTGCCTGCTGCCAAGTTCTGCCTGCCACCTCTGGGGAACAAACACCCACTGCCAAGTTCTGCCTGCCACGTTTGTGGAACATATACCCACTGCCAAATTCCGCCTGCCACATCTGGGGAACATATACCTGTTGCCAAGTTCTGCCTGCCACATCTGGGGAACATCAGCTCTGCAGCTCCTTATCTCGGCTCTTCAGGCTCCAGACAGCTGGCAACCCATGATTTTCTGGGCCAAGCATCCCCTGTTCCTACCTTCAGGGGTGTTCTGCACTCAGCTGCAAGGGGAGCCCTTTCAGCACTCCGGCCTCTGACCAGGTACACGACAGTATCATCCAGCTAGTATGTCTGAGTCAGCAGAGGTGCTTTCCCGATTGAGGCTCTGTGCCAACAAGTTGCCGTCCTTGCTCAGGCAGTGAAGAGTCTTCAGGAAGGATACTTCCACCTGGAGGGTCGTCTGCAAAACCTAACTGTGTCCACTACTCCTTCAGGTCAAGATCCACCTTCTGCTACTACAGCAACCACTCCACTAGCGCAGGAACACAGCCTCTGCTCCCACTGTGGTGGTTCCACCTCCGGAACCACAGGTGCCAGCTCCTGAATGCTTCTCCGTTGATCAGAGCCTTCAGGAATGCCTGCTTATTATATCTGACCC